AAGGGGGAGAGGGGTAGTTATACTTATATCAAACAAAATTAACTTTAAAGCAAAAATGGTAAAAAGAGCCAAAGAAGGTCATTATATAATGATAAAGGGGTCAATCCATCAAGGGTATATAACAATTGCAAATATTTATGTACTCAACATTGGAATATATAATCTCACAAAAACTAACAACTGAAAGGAGAAATAAACAGCAAATACAGTAATAGTTGGGGACTTTAATACCCCATTCTCAACAATAGATAGATTATCCAATCAATAAGGAAACAATGAATTTGAACAATACTATAGACCAAATGGACCAAATATATAGAAAACATTCTATCCAGTAGTAGAATACACATTCTTATTGAACACAAATAGAAGATTTGCTAGGAGAGACTGGCCATAGATTAGGACACAAAACAAGTCTTAGCAAATTCAAGAAGACTGAAATCATACCAAGTAACTTCTCTGACCACAATGGTATGAACTAGAAATCAATAACAGGTGAAAAACTGGAAAATTCACAAATACATAAAAATTAAACAACATTCTCCTAAACAACCAGTCAAAGAAGGAATTAAATAGGAAGTAAAAGAGTACCTTGAGACAAACAAAAATGAAAACACAACATACCAAAACTTATCAGATGCAGTGAAAGTTATTCTAAGAAGGAAGTTCATAGCAATAAACACCTACATTAACTATATGGCTCAAGGAACTAGAAAATGAAGAAGAAACTAAGCCAAAAGTTAGCAGAAGGAGGAAATAATAAAACTTAGAGAAGAAATACATGAAATAAAGAAGAGGAAAACAATAGAAAAGAGTTTTTAAAACTAAAAATTGGTCTTTAAAAAGATAAACAAAATTAACAAATCTTTAGCTAGACTAACCAAAGAGAGTACCCAAATCAACAAAATTATAAATGAAAGAAGAAACATTACAACTGATATCACAGAAATACAAAGGGCCATAAGAACAACTATACTCCAACAAACTGGAAAGCCTAGTGGAAATGGAAAAATTATTAGAAACATACAACTTGCCAAGGCTGACTCAAGAAGAAATAGAAAATTAGAACAGAGCAATTACTAGTAATAAGACTGAATCAGTAATCAAAAACCGCCCAAGAAAACAAAAGCCAAGGACCAGATGGCTTCACTGGTGAATTTTACCAAACATTTAAAAAAGTAGCACCAATCCTTTTCAAACTCTTCCAAAGAATCTAATAAGAGGGAACACTCTCAAACTCATTTTATGAGGCCAGAATTGCCTGATACCAAAGCCAAAAAGGACACTACAAAACAAAAACAAAAACAAAACAAAACAAAAAACCTTATCCAATATCCCAGGTAAATATAGATGCAAAAATTCTCAGTGAAATACAAGCAAACCAAATTCAGCAGCACTTTATAAGGATCATTCAACGTGATCAAGTGGGATTTATACCTGGGATACAAGGATGATTCAACATATGTCAATCAATAAATGTGATACACCACATTAATAGAATGAAAGAAAAAAATCATATGATCATCTCAATAGATGCAGAAAAACCATTTGAAAAAATTCAACATCTGTTGATGATAAAAAAAACTCTTAACAAATTAGGTACAGAAAGAAGTTATGTCAACATAATAACAAGACCACATATGACAAGTCCACAGCTTACATCGCACTCAATGGTGAAAGGTTGAAAGCTTTTCCTCTAGAATCAGGAACAAGACAAAGGTTCCCACTTCTCACCACTCTTGTTCAACATAGTACTGGGAGTCCTAGCCAGAGCAATCAAGCAAGAAAAAGAAATAAAAGACATCTAAGTAGGAAAGGAAAAAGTAAAATTGCCTCTATTTGCAGATGACACACTTTCTGTATAGAAAATCCTAGATTCCACCAAAAAACTGTTAGAACTAATCAATGAATTTAGTAAAGTTGCAGGATACAAAATTAACATACAAGGATCAGTAGCATTTCTATACACTAACAATGAATGATCTAAAAAAGAAATAAAACAATCCCACTTACAAAAGCATCAAAAACAATAAAATACTTAGAAATAAATTTAAACAAGGAGGAGAAAGATCTCTACACTGAAAACTACAAAACATTGATGAAAGAAATCAAAGAATATACAAATAAATGGAAAAGTATCCTGAGTTCATGAATTGGAAGAATACTGTTAAAATGTCCATACTATCCAAAGCTATCTATAGATTTAATGCAATCTTTATCAAAATTCCAATGATATTTTTTCAGAAGTAGAAAATACAATCCTAAAATTTGTATGAAACAAAAGACCCCAAATAGCCAAAGCAATCCTGAGAAAGAAGAATAAAGCAGGATGCATCACACTTTTTTATTTCAAGCTATATTACAAAGCTATAGTAATCAAAACAGTGTAGTACTGGCATAAAAATGGATATATAGGCCAATGTAACAGAATCAATTGTGCAGAAATAAACCCACACATATAGAGTCAACTAACATTTGACAAGGGGGTCAAGAACACTCAATGGAGAAAAGACAGTCTCTTCAGTAAATTGTGCTGGGAAAATTGGATAGTCACATGTGAAAGAATAAAACTAGACCCCTATCTTACACTACTCACAAAATTAATTCAAAATGGATTAAAGACTTAAATGTAAGACCTAAAACCACTATAATCTTAGAAGAGAACTTAGGAGAAAAGCTCCTTGACCTTGGTCTTGGCAATGACATTTTGAATACGGACAGCTAAAGCACAAGCAACAACAACAAAAAAATAAACATGTGGGACTACATGAAACTAAAAACCATCTGCACAGCAACATAAACAATTGACAACCTATGAAATGGGAAAAATATTTGCAAATCTTATATCTGACAAGGGGCTAATATCCAATATGTAAAAAGAAATCATACAACTCAATAGCAAAAAAAAAAAATCAAATTTTTAAAAATGGGCAAAGGATCTAAATAGAATAGACATCTTGCCAAAGAAAATATATAAGTGGCCAACAGGTACATGAAAAAGTACTCAACATCACTAATCATTAGGGAAATGCAAATCAAAACCACAATGAAATATCACCCCATGCCTGTTAGAATGGCTATGATAAAAAAGACAAAAAATAACAAGCGTTGGTGAGGATGTATTCATAGAAGAAAGGAAAGCCTCGTACACTGTTGGTGGGAATGTAAATTGGTGCAGCCACTATGGAAAACAGTCTGAAGATTCCTCAAAAAATTAAAAATAGAAACTACCATATGACACAGCAATTCCATTCTGGATAAATATCCAAAGGAAAGGAAAACACTTATCAAAGAAATATTTGCACCTCCATGTTCATAGCAGCATTATTTACAATAGCCAAGACATGAAAACAGCCTAAGTGTCCATCAATGGCTGAATGCATAAAGAAGTTTTAGAATACGCCCCCCCCCACACACACACACATACACACACACACTGGAATATTCTTCAGCCATAAAAATGGAGGAAATCCTGCCATTTGCTACAACCTGGGTGGCTCTTTGGAACATTTTGCTAAGTGAAATAAGATAAAGACACATACTAGGTGATCTTACTTAAATGTGGAATATTAAAAAAAAGAACTCAGGAAAATAGATCAGATTTGTGGTTACCAGAAGCAGGGGTTGGGGGATAGAGGGTGGGGAAATTGGATAAAGGTAGTCAAAAGGTACAAACTTCCAGCTATAAGATAAATATGTGCTGGGGAATGTAATGGCCATCATGACGACACTAGTTAATTTACTGGATTGCATATTTGAAAGTTGCTAAGACAGTAAATCCTAGAAGTTCTCATCACATGGAAGAAAACTTTTTCTTTCTTTTTTATATCTGTACGAGATGAATGTTAACTAAACTTATTATAATAATCATTTCACAATAAAGTCAAGTCATTATGCTGTATACCTTAAACTTATATAGTGTTGTATGTCAATTAAATCTTAATAAAACTGAAAAAACAAACAAACAAATTATTATTTTACCATTCTGGAAGTCAGATGTCCGATATGGTCTTATCAGGCTAAAATTGAGGTGTTGACTGGGTTATGTCCCTCTGGAGGCTTAGGGGAGAACCCATTCCATTCCATTCCATTCCATTCCATTGCCTTTCCCGGCTCCTAGAGGCTGCCTGCATTCCTTGGGTCACGGCCCCTTCCTTCATCTTTAAAGTCAGCGGCGTAGCATCTTCAAATTTCAATCTGACTGTTTCCATAGTCACATTCTCCTGACCCTGGTCATCTGCCTTCTTCTTATAAGGACCCTGTTTTTATATTGAAACCACCCAGATGATCTTCCCATCCCAAGATCTGTATGTAACTTAATCACATCAGCAATGTCCCTTTTGCCATGTAACACGTTCACAGGTTTAGGGGATTAAAATGTGCACATTTGGGGGAGGGGCATTATTTTGCCTCCCACAGTGTGCATCTGTTATTTACATAGTGACTTATGGACTGAAGAGCTACCAGTGAAATGTTGAACAGGCACCAGCGTTATTTAAGTAAACTGGTGAACTGGAATTTGTGTATAATTGAATCAGGCAAAGCTAGGACTGCCTGTTTTAAGTTCAGCTTATTGGTCAAAAGGGATGAAAAACACATGTGACCACACATGCAGGACCATAGCTATAGAAAATGAGGTGTCTGCACCGATATGTCTGCACTAGTAACTAACAAGTAAATAGACTGAGCTTTCTCTTGGGCTGGATCTCAAGGCCATGAGAATACTGACAGCACTACTGCTTTTCTCTCTGAAAAACATGGTACAGGTGAATATGGAACAAATTTGTGAAATAATGATAGAACTTTCTTCTTACTTCCACCATCTTCTGCCCCCTCCGCCCCTACCCCCAAAACATGTCTGACTATCACTGATATACAATTACTAACAGTGTATTACACTGTTTACAAAGCAACCATCTTTTAAAAAAATTCTGATTAATAAACTTAAAAGAGCTTTTCTGATAACTGATTAAGGATATAATAAACAGTTCCTATGTTCACAGAGGATGAGCAAACTATAGAATATGTAAATATGGGACACAGGTTTCTGATATTCTTAAACCAGACACAATTTAAAAAACTGAATTGCTGATAGAAAGTTTCTCATAAATACATTTTATTTTAACAACAAAAAGGTCAGTTATACACCTCTGACTGGAATTATTAAAGTACAATCTTTTCGGGGGGGGGGAGGTTCTCACCATGTCACAAACATAGAAAGGGGCACTAAAGTACTTCTCTGGCAGTCCTATACTAAACTGCAATATAAACACCTGATCTTACAGAACAGGATACCTCTTGAAGAGGCGTAGCTTGTTTTATAATACCTAAGTATTGCAAATACACTCATTGCATGAACTGGGGAAGGAAAAGGAAGAAGACACAGCATTTCATGAAAATGCATTCCTGGTTTACATCCATATCAAGTCTTACCGCTTCACAGAATTCGTAATTCATTAGCCAGTGCTATTTAAAAATATTTACTTCAGAAGCCTTAGACTGATAATTGGAGAAAAATCGCACACAAGGTCTAACCCTGGTGGTGTATGTGAAATCAAATCTTTATGCGCCTATGGCTCTTGTTGGGGTCTGAACCCTGGACAGGGCTGGAAATACCTCTGAGGTAACAGTTCTATTTTCTTCATGTTCAGCCCAGACAGGTCACACCCAAAGTGCTAAGTGCATATTTCAAGCATGTGTTCTGAACCTGTTTAGAGCCACAGTAAACTATAAAAGGCAATTTCACAGATACTCTTTGAGAGTGAACATAATCACTAAAGTTGGTATGTTGTCTCAAAAAAGATTTTTACATTTCAGAGAATAAACTCTCATATACATTTTGAAACTCTCATAAAATTACTATCCTAAGTCCATCAAGACTTCAGAGTTTGTTTTGTTGTTTTTTTTCATGAAGTAAGCAAAAGGGTAGTTAGTCTCTATTCGTCCCATGATTGTACCTACACCAGGCTTCCCTAGGGGGACTTAATCAATGGTATAATTACACATCCAAGTCCTTCAGCTCTCCCCAGCTGGCACCTATTTTCACTTTCACTTTTAGTTTCACAGAAAGTTGTATAGCATTTTCCATTTCATTCTTGACAATCTGAGCTACCTAACAAAAAGAAAAAGAAAAGAGGTTAACAAACTCTCTGCTCAAAGAATGTTTCCCAACCCACCCATGGCAGTGATAGGCCATACTGGAGCTCTTCACCTGGTGCTTAAAATGTGACTTCCGAAAAGAGCCAGGCATCCCAAGCTGCTCTGCACCAATGCCAATTTCAGCTATAATGCTCAGAGATTTGAAACCCTCGGGGCAAGACTCCAAATTCTCATCTAACTTCTCTCAGACAAAAACATCCCTGCATCAGGAATTTCTTTAACCATGAGTATGACATTGAGCCCTCTTAGCTCTTTCTCTATCCTTAAGGACCCAACATTTATAGAGACATCCTGGGGCTAGGGAAAGGTTCCAGAAATCTCATGCACCTTGGCCTGACCTACAGTGTCTCAACTTTCTATAGAATGGAAAAATACCTGCACAATATCTTCTTCTGCCACTTCATATAAGAGTTCATCATGGAGTTGAAGGATGAAGAAGCCTCCTCTGATTGGGCAGAACATCCCTTGCAGTTTTCTCTTTGGTAACAATCCTACAACATGAAAAAAGTAGCAAAACTGATAAGCATGTCACTCTGCCATAGGAGAATATTTTTTTAAGAGATCTTGAGAAACTCTGGGAAATTTTAATTAAGAGATTAAAACTCATAAGATTTAGAACTATCAGGAAAACAACTACTTACCAGCTGCTACCTATCCCAAAGAAGTCAGTAAATGGAGTTTGAAGGACTCGGCTCCAAACTCTATTCTAACTTACTTCTAACAAACCACCACCATCTCTTTCCATGGAGTCCCCACTATCATCTTTTCTAAGTCATAGCACCAGAGTAATAAGGGGTCTGATTCCTGCTCCAGGAAAGTGAACTGGTATTGTCATGATAAAACTTCTGCAGTGTTTTATAAAAGGGACACTCCCTGATGTCTTTTTATGGCCAGAAGTGTCACTATGGTAGAACTGTTGCTTCCGCACACTGTAGACAAATTATTCTAAACCTAAGGTCCAATTGTGGACTTCAGACTGGGTGAATCTCTTGAAGCTATATGTATGAGTGTATGTCTGTACTTTTTTTTCTGGAACGATCTATACTTTTCAGTCGATTCTCAAGAAAAAAACATTACTCCGATAATGGTTAAAAACCACTCTATTAGACTTGGTTACTATTTCCTGATTAGCTGGGCCTAATGGTACAGATTATGCTCCTCTGATCACTAAAATAAGGTTCAACATTTATACCTTTAGAGTTACTGCCTTTAATTGTTTGCCCATATCTCACAGCTGTTATTCCTTTCTGCCATTCAAATTTCCTACTTATCCTTCAGGAAAGCACTAATCCCATATCATCTCTTCCAAAATGTGAGCAGAGTTCTTTAGCGTCACTATCTGCAGCCCAGGTTTTCTCAGAGGTGGCTCTCACAGGGTGAGAGAACACAGGCAGACGAGGCATGGCGAGCCACCTCCACAGCAGAGCTGCACAGGCCCTGCATCTGTTTGCCAGTCGGGCTGCATCGGATCTGCCCATTGGGCCCCACTTATCTCACATGATTGGCTGTCCGAATGCTCTAGCTTTTCTGCTTTCTGATCATCATACCTTTGTCCTCTTCATTCCCCTTCGTTACGTGGCTTCTGACCCAGAATGCCATGATCCCCTTGTTCCCTGTGTGGTCCGCTTCCTCAGGCTCAGTGCCCTTGGATCCCACTGACTACTGCTACTTTTAGCCCCGTGTAACACCATGAAGACATCCTCGGTGACATATCCACACTGCCCTCCACTCACTCTAAAGGTTATTGTCTATATCCTCATTCTGACACTGTATCACTCTGCTGTGATACAGTGTCAGAGTTTAAATGTAAACATAGATTTAGATTTTAAATGTAAACATAAGTTGATAACTTTTATTTCCAAATCCTGTAAGGTACACAGCATAGTGTTATTCCCCAAATAAGCTTGAAGCTTGATCATATATTCCCCTATAAACAAAATGTTGAATTATCAGCCTTAGATATTTTTGGGGGGATTGACGATAATAAAATTAACAATCTTCACTTGATGGGCAAATAGGTTTTTATATCTGTGTATTTTTGTATATAAGTGAATATCTTTATATGTATGTAACTGGCTGTATTATTCTCTATAATGTATGTGTATGTCTCTCCTAGCAAATTCCATCCTCAACAGCTGATCACTACCTTTTCTGCCCCATCTCAAGCAGTTTATTCTTCCCCTTTATGCTCCAAACCTTCTTAACGTCTTCCCAGGAAAATGTAAAACATGGCTGGCAGTCATGGTTTGACAATCTCAGTGACAGTAAAATGGTATTTAAAGCAGAAGTATGGACATGGGCTAAACAGAAGGGCAAGCTCTATGTACTTGTTAGAACAAGAAATAATCTATCCAAGCGATAAGGAGAGAACCTAGGAAAAATATTTTGAAAAGAAGATCAAGAAAAGATGTCAATATTGGCAAAGAAACGTACATGATAAGGAGGTCAACTCCGTGTGTGAGTCCCACACTTCAGAGAACAAGGAAGGCCATGAACAGGAAAATCAGCATGTTCTTAAATGTAGTATGAGCACCATAGAGAATCCCTGAGACCGTTTCAAAGCATCGGCAAAATCAGATTATTTTCATAACGACACACTGAAGTTATTCTCCTTTTTTAGTCTCATTCTCTTCTAAGTGTATAGCAATGTACCAGCTATCCTGGTTTTAGCACTAAAAGTTATCCTGGGAAATCCACCAGTCTCCCACAAACTGGGCCATCTGTCACCCTAGATGGTAGGTACAAAGGGTTTTCCAGGAGTTACAGGACAGGTGATATTGCAACAAATTCAATGCAGAAACAGATAAGAGAATTGAACTGTCTTCTCTTAAGCCAGATATCAAAGAGATTTGTAGAAATGTACATGAAGCCACTCATCATCATTTTTCTTTTGTTCTAAAAAATGTAGTTATTTTTATAAAAATATTACTTATGTTAACATATAGTAAATTTATTATTTTTTTATGTTAATAAACATTTTTAAATTCCCTGTTTTTTAATTTCTAATATTAGTAGTAACTATTAGTAAATATAATCACATAAACAAAAGCTCTTTGGGATGTTGATAATTCTAAGAGTGTAAATACATCATGAAACCAAAATGTTGGAGAACTACTGAGAAATAATATATAAAAATATTTTCCCTTTTCTTTTCTGACGAAATTAATCTCATCATGCTATAGCAGGGGCTTCATTTATGAACAAACCTGTTTTGTCTCTTTGGAGCATACACTCGCGATGCCCATGGGATTTGAAGGTTGAGTGCAAGGTCTCCAATTGCTTCTGAATGTTAACTGTGGCTATTTTGACAAGATCGGCTGCTGAACCTTGGACTGTTGTGTTGATAGCCTGACGCTCAGCCTATAAAAAAAGGTAAAAATAACACATGCTCCATCAGATATAAAACACGGTTTCATACCTGCTTTTAGCATCTACAGATCAGTGCTCACATCTGCAACCAGACTGGAAATCTGGACCAAGATGTGACCCAGGACATCGATTATTAAGCTGCAGCCTAAGAATAACAAATAGAATGATCCAGGGCTTTAGACTCTGGGCTATCATCCACAGGAGGATAAACTAAATAGAAGATTGTCAGATTGTTTAATATAGAAATCTTCAACACTCGGGAATCAAAAACAGCATTACACTTAAGATGTATTTAGTAGCTCAAAATTATTTTATTTTATAAACATATATCACCAATGTTCTAGCTGCTATAAACTTCACTCTAAAGGATCTAGTTCTCAAAATACAACTCCTCTTAATCCTAAATAGATACAAGTAGAATATCATTCTCTGTGACGTGGGTTGGAATGTTCCAAGTATATCCCCCATATCGGTGGCCTCTTGGTCCTCTGTAGAGTTTGGCCCCAGCATGCCTGGAGCCCTCTGGTATGAGCTTTTTATGGGCTGCTGGGGCTAATCATTATCATTAGCTGCTAGTGAAAATGTAGATCCTAGATCCCTAGTATAAATTAAAACGTCCCTGAAATTACTGCTGCCATGAGTTTCTTGGCAGGCAAACATAGCTGCCAAAAGTGATCACCCTGGGGCAGTAGGGGTGGAGTCTGGGTTAACATCCAAGGTGAAACCTGTCTAAGATTATCACTCCTATTGTCCCAAAAGGTCTCACAAAATGGGAAGGGCCTACTCACTGGAGGGATCTATGTACTTCGAGAGGTGTTCTCTAGTTCCCTCTCACCTGAGCTATACCTAATTCCTAGTATATTAAATGCCTGTTGAAGAGACAGGCTTTTAAAAAAATTAACTGTTGTTTTGTCAGATGCTGATAAATCCATTCTAAATTCACTCAGTTGTCACTGCTTAAAGAGTGACTAAATTTCAGAGTTCTTCTGATTCCTCTCCTTCTCAAAACTTTGTGTAGTGGATTATGTTATTGTTGCTATTACTTGCTGCCTTTCTCTGAGAAGTTTTGTAGACCCACCCATTGCCATGAGATGTGAAGTGTTTTTCACTCTAAAAGGATGGCCTTGACTTGTTTTCACCAATAAAATGTGAGTAAAACTGATATACAGCACATGTAAGAAGTTTTAAAAACTATCCAACATTGTCACAAAAAAAGGGACTTGTCATTCATTCTGAATTCCAGAATGAAGAAAATACAGAAGAGGGCCTCATTCAACAGAATCAAACTGAATTAAAAATAATTCAGTAACAGGAATTAAAAATAAAGCTTCTTATTTTAAAGCCACTAAAATTTTGGGGTTGTTTGTACTGACAAAAGCAAGCAAAAATATGACTAAAATAAATACTTTACTCTCGTGATATTGCACCTTCCTGATTCTTTTCCAAAATAAGAAAATTTGGTAGTCTTGACTCTGTGTTTTACAATCACAGTCATTCATAACCAGGGCTTTTTCATGTAAATAAAAATATAGGTTTTTGGTAATGGGAGACTAGACCATTAGGAACAACTTTCCCACTGATAACAACAAGAAAAACTGAAAAGAAAATGCCTCTTTGAATAAATCAGAGTTAAGGAAGTGAAGAATTATAGACCCTGGAGAGCTAGGAGCAAAAGGAAACCAAGGAGGTGATCCTGGCATAAGAGGCCATCATGTCTCCCAAGGAAATCAGTAGTTTCCAGAAGAGGCAGATGACAGGCTAAGAAGCTGAGCAGAGCTTGATAATTTGGAAGGGTTTGTGAAATAAACAAGTCAGGGCCCAACAAGTAAAAGGAAGCCTGGTATATCATCAATTGCAACCCCAAAACTCATACCCTAGGAAAAACGATAATTTAGAAATAGTCTGGTTCTAACACCATTGCTTCAAATCATCTCTGCCTCTGAAGTTCTATCCAAGTAACCCTACATTGTTGATCATTCTAGTCTTCTGCCAAAAGATGTAAATCCTCTGAATAAAAGTAACATCATCATACAGGCTTCAAATTATATCCATAAGCTTTCATATACAGTGTTTGACACAATAAAAAATTACCAGGACAACAACAAGTTGAGACAATATAACTGTTTTTGTAGAAAACTAAAAAAAAGTAACAGGAATAGACTACAGAGATACAAGTATGCAACATTAGACCATAAAATAATCATGTTTAATATATTCAAGAAAATAAAAGAGAAAATTGAGTATTTCAGTAGAGAACAAAATACCCATAAAATAACAAAATGGAAACTCTAGAACTGAAAAATAAAAATAACAGAGCTTAAAGCAGTTAAACAGTGCTTTCTTTATAATTTGGAGTGTGTGTAGGGGGGATATTATTGAATTGGAAGGAGGAGAAAGGAGCCTTCTGGAGTGGCTGGAAAAAGTCTATATCATTTAGAACTTAAAAGCTCAATAGTTGGGTTCAATAGCAAATTAAAAAGAAAAATCCATAAACTGAAAGAGAAGTTAGGAGAAAATATCCAGAATTAAGCATGAAGAAATACAAACATGGAAAATACCAAACAGAGGATATGAAACATGAGGAATTTTAAAAAGTTTTAAATTTATAATAGGAGTCCCAGAAAGAGAGGAGAGAATGTGATGAAGCAATAATTGAAGTAGAAATGGCTAAGAATTTTCCAAAGTCAACAAAAGAGATCAAGCTGCAGATTCAAGAAACCCTAATGCCCTCAAAGAAAGATCAAATACACACCCACACAGAGGCACATTAAACACACACACACACACACACACACACACACACACACACACAATTAGGCACATCACAGAATACATCTATTGAAGGATTATTAAGGGAACCCATATTACATTAGTCTCCCAAAGATTGTGTTCAGCTAATACTGACATGTGCCAACACTTCAGAAGTCCTTAATAAAACAGACGATCCAATTATTCCACTAGTGATCCCTATAAGGGACAATAGCAGCATTTAGTCTTTGTTAAAAAGTATATGTCATTGAAATTTTAAGTTAAAAATCCAGAGAAACTTCAACATACGTGAGATTTATGATAAGGGTTGTTGTCTTTGATTCCTGGTAAATATCTACGCCGTCCCAAAATGGTCTGAACAAACCCATCTCTTCTACAATTCTTCACCGTCTCCTTCATGAAATGATTAACTCCTACAAAGAAAAAAAAGAAACAATTTCACCCAAAGTCCATTCTTAATCTCATTCAATAGTTTTAAAATAGCAGAATATACCAAAACCCTATGAATACCACAACATCAAAACTCTGCATATAAACTTTCATTCACTATTTTGTAGACTCATAAAGTTAGAAATAAAAGGGACTTTAGAAATGACATGATCTAACTCTGTTTTTTAACCACCAACAACTAAAAAGTATGAAACTAAACTCCAGAACAACCTAGGTGGTTTTACTCCAGGATCTTCCATGCTTCTTTTCACAGGTTTCTATTTTTGATCATGTCAATCCTGTTTTATTCTTTGATCTTATCATTTCCAGGCTTAAAACATTCTAACAGATCCTTGCTACCATCTAAGCTATGATCCAAATAGGACCTAACTGAAATTAATGCACGAGTTATAATAGGAACATATACAACCCACTTCTTAAAACTCAAAATTCAGTAATATACTGTATGTATAGTATACTATTCAAACACATTCATATTCCCTATACCAGCATTCATCCTTTGCAATATAGGTCCATTATGTATTATATCTTCTGGATCTCCAGGATGAATTCTTTGTTTCAGATGGTCCAATCTCTTCATTGCTCATTCCTGTCTCTGAGCTACAGAGGTTCTTTCTCTATATTCTTTAAAACACAATTGAGTGTAGAGACTGTGCTGATCTATTTTTATTCATATTTGTAATCTCTGCTTTCTCACAGCTCTGCTCATCCTAAGTAATAAACACTAATGTCTCCCAGTTGAAAGCCCTCATTTAGGATTTCTGTTGTGTGGCTGGCACACACACAAAAAAAGACATTTGAGGAGATCGTGGGTGATAGGAAAGGAGGAAATACTGCCAAGTGAAGCTGTTGGTGATATTTGATCACTAGCATAAAAATTCAGAAAGCAATGAGGCTCTCCTATTTTCCTTTTTAAGAATTCTTTGATTTTGTTGAGGGAAGAGCAAAGAAAAGGATGAGATTTAAGAGAGGTCTACAAATTCTCTTACCTGAATCTGTAGGAGGCCTTCCAATATTGAGAGACTGCAAGAACTACTTTTAAAAACAATCAATTCTGAGATATAATTTGCATACAATAAAAGGCACTCCTTCAGGTGAACAGTTTGATGCATTTTAACAAATGTGTACACTCCTATAACAACCACTAAAAGACACATTTTCATGACCTTTGTAGTCAGATCCCCATTATTAGCCTCACTCACTGATGTGCTTTATGACACTATATCTTAGGTTTTTATGTTCTTAAAATTCATAAAAATTTAATTATACTATAGTTCTCATTTGTGTCTGCCTTCTTTTGCTACGAAGTATTTATTACATTGCAGAAATACACCAAAATCTGTTTTTTCATAATTCTGTTGATAGACATTTGGACTGTTCCCAATCTTGGGCTATTACGAATAAAACTACTATAACATTCATGTACAAGTCTTTCATTGGACATATGTTTTCACTTTTCTTGAGCAAATACTCAATAGTCGAATTGCAGGATCAAATGGTTAAGTGTGTTTAATTTTATATGAAAGAGTCATACTGTTTTCCAAAGTGGTGATCCATTTTACAACTCTCCCAGCAATGTAAAACAGATACAATGCTTTTAATTTTAGCCATTCTAGTGTATTTGTAATGGTATCTCTTTGTGGTTTTAATTTGCTCTTCTCTGATGACTGATGATAACATTTGATGTGGTCATTCATATCTCTTTTTGTGAAATGTCTGTTGAAAATCTTTGACCTTGATTTTATTGGCTTGTTTGACTTCTTAGCATTGAGTTGTATAAAAGTTCTTTAATATTCTGGATGCAAGTCCTTTGTTAGATTAATAGGAACTGCAAATATTTTCTCTCAGTCTGTGGCTTTGCCTTTACGTTTTCTTGATGCTGTCTTTTATCAGCATTTATCTTTTATGATTCAGTGTTACTATCACCTAAGAAATATTTGCCTACCTCAATGTCACAAAGTTTTCTCCCCTATTTCTTCTGGAAGATTTATCGTTTTAGCTTTTACTTTTAAGTCTACACATTATATCAAGTTAATTTTTGAATACAGTGTGAGATAAAAGTTGAAGTTCACTTTTTTCCCATACTGGTATCTATTGTAGTTCTTCCCACACCAATTGTTGACAAGACCACTTGTTCTCCATTGAATTACCATGGCAACTTTGTTGAAAATCAATTCACCATATAAGTATATTTCTGGACCACTTATGGTGAATCATTGTTCCCTATGTCTACCCATATGCCTATCTTGATTATAGTAGTTTTATAAATTTTGAAACCAGAAAGTGTAAGTACATAGTATTGTACTTTCCCCCCTAAAATTATTCTAATTGTTCTAGTCCCTTTGAATATCCATATAAATTTAGAGTCTAACAGAATTTTGATTGGAATTGCTTTGAGTCCATAAAGTAATTTACAAAAAACTGTCATCATAACAAAGTAGTGCCTTCTAATAAATTAACATGGTAAACCTCCCATTTATTTAAGTATTCTTCAATTTCTCTCAGGATTGCTTTGGTGTTTTCAATAAAGTCTTACACATATACTGTTAAATTTAGCCTAAGTATTTCATGTATTTTGATGTTATTGTAAATGGTTATATTTCATACACTAATTGTTCATTGCTAATATATAGAACTACAACGGATTTTTACAAATTGACCCTGTTTGGTGGGATCTTGCTAAATTCACTTTTTTTTGTTTTAGTAAAATTCATATGATTTTCAATGTACAAGATCATGTCATATGTGAATAAAATTTTCTTTTTGAAGATTGGAGACAGGGTTGATTACAAGGAGCATAAAATAACTTTTTGGGGTGTTGGGGTGATGGTTTCATATCTTTATTGTGGTATAGGTTATATGATTGTGTACATTTGTCAAAATTCATAGAATTCTACACCTAAAAAGCATGAATTTTATTCTATATAAATTATACCTCAATAAACTGCCAAAAGAAAATTTATAACAATGATACTCAAACTGCTGTATAACAGCAGTTGTTCACTCACAGTTTCTGGTACATTTAATCCATGGTTTACTGTTTCAAATTAAAGCTATCTAAACATAAAGCACAGGACAATTTCAAGATTTTATGAGATATTCACAATGACACTACATTTTGCCACTCCATTTCTGTCCCTACTTTTATGAAAAAAGCACATCTTACTAAATAATCATAAGATTAATATTATTAAATTAACAATGCCTGATGAAAAGTTCTGATTAATGGAAATGTTAACAGAAAATAATGTAACACAATTTTTTAAAATTAATAATACTATGGAAAGGCAATTGAGAAGAATAGTATCTAGAAGATAATTAACACTCACGGCTTCTTACCTGTGTATCTGGATTTGAAGGAGTCAATGTAGCAAGCAGCATCATTTTCTTTAATGCCCATCTGCTCTCCCAAAGATTTAGCTCCCATTCCATAAATGATTCCGTAGCAAATCTGAAAGGGAGTCATCACACTCAGTAAGTAAATTAAAGTTTGTAACTACATAAAAGGCAAATATAAAAAGTTCTTTAGGATTGAAATTTGGTAAGTTTTTTATTTCATAGTGATTCAAAGAAATGACCCAATCTGCTTTTGGTGGGTTAGATCCACAAAAGTTGATATCCAGTGAACATCCTTTAAGCCTTTTAGCAATACTTTTTTGAGGGGAGAAGAGGAAGCGGGGGAAAGGCAGAATATGAATATTAATGTCTGTTTGTTTTAAGAAAATAATCCTAATGATTCAAAAGGGAAGATTTGTTTCTGACTCTGTCATTTATCCAGTTGTCTTCACAGCAGCTTTCTACTGCTCATAATACCTCATTAACTTCTGCTTAAAGAAGTGCCTCGGAGTCAGGAAAGAAACATTACAAACATCCCTCTCCTTACTCTTAGATAATTCTAAAAGAGCTGGAAGAATAGGCTTCATGCTTTGATAATAGGAAAGGCTTATTGGAAATAAACATGCTCTTCACCTCATAGCCACCTGAAATCTCACAATTGCAGAATTCACAATTTCATGAATTTCACAATTCATTTGAGTTAAACACAAACTCATGAGGAAATTTTGGGTGTAATGAAGGTTTATAGTCTAAACAGGTCAATACAAAAACTCTGATTTAATAATAAGTATTGTTTATGTTCAAATCCTAGTTCCAGCATTTACAAGATGTATTATCTTGCATAAGCCACCTAAATTCTTGGCATCTTGATTTCTTCATTCATAAAATGAAGACAGTAATACTATATCATGGGATTGTTAGGATTAAATGAGTTATTATTTATAAGTGCTTAGGAAACCACATGACATACAGCAAGCTCTCTATAAATGTTGTCAGATAAAATTTAAAAAGATAACTAGCAAAAACTGATTATCAGAATTCCAAAATAGTTTTAATGTAATAAGACAGCTGGAGGTATTTTGTTTTTTCCTTTTTTAAATTATACTGAGAGGGACTTTTTCCCTCTCCTTTTTTCTTTTCCTTTCTGGACTTTTTATGCTTTATTTTGTTGTGATGCCTACTTTTTTTTTTTTAATTTAGACATTACTTAGTGCTGGCTGAGATCTCAGTAAGACTCAAAGATTAGATGGTGATTTAGGGAGAAAAAAATGGTATAGCATAAACACTATTAAATCATGCAAGACCTTATATTAAATAGAGGCCACTATCATTAGTGGACAAATGTTTAGGATACAGAGTCAGAGTGTCTAAGCTCTGGCATTTCGAACTTATCCTGGCTCCACCACTTGTAGCTATATGACCTTAAGCAAATTACTAACTTCTGTGCCTCAGTTTTCTTCTATATAAAATAAGGATGATAATGATACCTATTTCATGGATTTATTGTGAAGATTAAATATTGGAATATTACTTACCTATTTTACCTAGGGTTTGATTCTTGCTAAATGCAGGATCCCAGAGGAGATTAACTACATAGAGAAGATAAAGCTGGCTTTCTAAGTCATGGAAGAAACAAGGGTTGGTGCTAAACAGACAGTGGTGAAAGGAAGTGTTTCCTGCCTAGAGGCAGTCAAGGATTATAGCTGTGAGTAACTAGAAGTAAATGTGAAACTAGTAAAGCAGGCTCTTAGAGGTGGGAGTGGTGTGTCTTTACCTCAGCCAACAATCCTACTTTCTTGAAAATGGTGTCACATTTCCCATAGGTCATGTGGTAAGGAGGTATCAGTGTTAATCCAGGCCTGGAAATGGTGTAAATGTGGCCAGACAATCTCTGTGGCCAGATATTTCCTGTGCCAGATGATCATCTAGGAGTAAAAACTAATATGGATCCACTTGAAAGGTCCAAGGGCAGCATAAAGTTTCACAGGTGGATTAGCTAACCAATGGCCTCAAACTAAAAAGCTATCAATTATAAATTATAATCCACAGCTCAGCAATATTTATTTTTCAACAAACATTTAGAGAGCACCTTTTTATAAAAAGTACTGTCGCTGAATGCTATGTGAAAATAGAAAGATGAAAATATGGAAGCTTACAGACTAGAAAGAGGTTTAAAATACCACACACACACACATACACACACACACACACACAAATAACAACTACTGCTACCACTACCACAATATCTACCACTAATGCATATGGCTTTTCAGACACTAAATTGCCTCGGACTAAGTCTATTTGATTCTTTCTGCTAACTCTACAAAGGAAAGCATAATGAATACCATGAGACAGGCTCAGATGAATGTGGTTTGAAAGATCCAAAGATAAAAAAAAAAATCATTCCTCAACTGCAAGTGATCGAGACAATTTTTCAATTTTTTTGAAACATTCAAATTCTCCTCATTTATGTTAAACATGTTTACTAAGATTACCTGCTTTGCTTGTTGCCTCAGATTATCCCCAACAAACTCTGGCTCAATCATCTTCCATTCAGCTGCAATACTCCTGAAAACATCAGCTTCCATGTTTAATACTTGAATGAGACGATGATCATGAGATAAATGAGCCAAGATCCTCAGTTCAATTTGAGAGTAATCAGCAGCTAATATTAAACCACCTGAAGTAGAGATAATTTTAGAAAAGCTGATACAAAGACAAATCCATTTTATATATTGGGTTGTCAGAAAAGTCATGACGTATTTTGTCTCTTTCAAAGGTCATTTATTTATATAAAGAACAAAGATCAATCAATGATATATTGCCCATTTTGTTTGATAACCTTTTGCCATCTTTCAGTGAGCTTCATAATTCCTCGTTCATAGAAGGACCTGTCTTTATTTGCAAAAAACTGAACAAGATGCTGATTTACAGCCTCATCTGAATTAAACATTATACCACGCAAGGAGTTTTGAGAGAGTGAAACAAGTGGAAGTCTGACAGCACAAGGTCAGGCGAGTATGGTGGGTGTGGCAACACATCCCATCCAAGCTCCAATAATTTTTAATGGGTGATCAAACTTGTGTGTGGTCTCATGTTGTTGCGATTGAACACAACTCCTTTACAATTAACAAGCTCTGGACGTTTCTGGATGATGGATTCGTTCAAACTGTCCAAATGCTGACAGTACACATTCGAATTGATTGTTTGGTTCCT